CCCCCCCCTAATATTTCATAAAGTTTCGCCACTTGCACACACGGTGGCTTTAAGGAGGCTCCCTACAGTTGCATGCGGGATGTTCGCGGGACAAGTACGTGAACTATCCCACGCAACTGCATGATCAAAACAAAACAAAAATTGACCATACTTTTTTTAAAAATAAAGCTATTTCTGAAAGGTTTCTAATGGGAAAAAGCGTTGAATAATACTTCGTTTTGAGTGCCAAATCACTTGCGAGTCTATACAGCAATTCTACATATGATACGAATATCACTAGACCAAAAAATAGCTACGAAACAATATATTTTAAGTTTTTTATACACTGTCAAATGACTCAACTGTAAAACATTTGCAAAATTGCATACAAACGTTTAAAAAGTTGTTTACTTCTCAAGAAAACGTTCATGTTTTTAGTCGTATTTCTACAAGATTAAAGTGATTATATGTAAACAGAAAAATATTTCAGTTTCATAGCCTAATTGTTCATTTTTAGCAAAAAGTACAAAACCAAACATGAAGCAAAAAAATACGTCCACCTGTTAATAGGCTGTTACAGCTCATAGATTGAGTAAACGGCAGGATTCGATTAGCTTCAACTTTGTTTTCATCGATTTAATCCTTCACAATAATCCTTGGCTGTCCATAGCACTCAAATAAATCGAAAAGTTGACAAAAACAAAACAGTAAAAACAACATTGGGCCATTGTATTTTTATCTGCACCCCCCCTATTGAGGGCATGTGGAATTTCCAATGGCCCCCTGCAAAAGTGAACCAAAAATGAAGGAATTTCCATGGGAGGGTCCAAATTTTAAAGCAAATCTGCGGAAATTCCAAAGGGTAGGTAAGAAAAATGAGTAAAACGTATGGAATTTCCATGGGAGGGTCAACAATGGAAAAGAAATTCCAAAGGATAGGATCAAAATCAGCAAGGAATTTTCCAGGGGATAGCTACTAATCAAAGAATCAATATGGAATTTCCACTGGCTAGATCAAAAACTGTCAAGGAATTTCCATGGGATGGGTTAAAAGTTCATAAAAAATTTGCGGAAATTCATGGGGATGGCTAAAATTCAATAAAAATCTGCGGAAATTCCACGGGGGAGGCAAACAATTCGCTTAAAAAATGTGGAAATTCCAGGGGAGGGGGGACCAAAAATGGATGTCCTCAATAGGGGGGGTTTGGTTTAAAAATGCAATGGCCCATTGCGGCTCGCTTTTGCTGAATGAAAACTCGTTCTGCGCCCGCGTACAATCTTTTACGAGTCAGCGACGCTTTTCAATAGGGGAATTTCTCTGAATTTCTCGAGTTACACGAGGCTATTTTCCAACTTTATTTGCATTTTACTCATTAGTTTCATCGGTGACCTATCTTCAAATTTTGACCACGAATTTATTTGCGGTAAATTTTATAAATTTCAAATTTTAAAAAAATCTGTAGTGTGGAAATTTCGCAATAAATTTTTAGCTTTTAAAAAAATCACACGCTACAGAATTTTTTTAAACTTTCATCACAGTTGCAGAGCATCATTCCTTATTGATATAAGAAATAAAAAAGATAGGTCACCGACATCGTTTTTGAGATAGCGGCACATTTATGGGTTACATTGGAAGGCTTTATGCTGTCGTCATGTTGCCATGGGAACATTGACATCGTCGAAATCTAGTTCGAAATATTCCTTAGGTGACCAATATTGCCACCAAGTCGAAAAGAATTCGCGTTCTGTACGAATAAGCCTGTTTTACGGAATTATTGCTTAAACAAGAATAACTGTAGGGAGCCACCTTAAAAGGTCTTAAAACTGTTTATTCTACCAATAAATAAAGGTTTTTTTATTGACTGGGATTTCAATAACTCGGACTGGGATTTCTAATGAAAATACAAGTGGGACTGGGATTTTGCCAAAATTTCAGGTGGGAAATGGGATTGGGACCCCCCCCCCCCTTCAGGACCCTCTATATACTCGCTCACGAGAATCGCGAGCCAACACGCGGGTCCTGACCCCTTCACCTTCACGAAAAAGATAAGCAGTTTATCTGAGGGTAGCGTTCCAGTTATATTCATTTCAATGGTAGGAAAGGCTATTTCATAAAGAGATCAGTATAAACCCGTCACAGGCATTGCTACGCAATCTAAGACTTTTCATGTTTATTTGGCAAAAAATTTGTTAAACGACAAACGAAAACACACAAACAATGCAGCTTATGAATAGATGTTGGCAAAACCATGAGAATAAAACTGATGCAAGAAACTTTATTGTGGTGATACATTTTCCAGTACAATATGATATAAACAGAAGTAATATTAAGCAAACGAATTACATTCTACAAACGTTTCTTAGAAAAGCAAACAATGCAACTTAAATCTGAACTAGCAAGATGATTACAAGTATCCACCAAACCACCAGTTGGTTGTAGAAAGGGGCCCAGCACTGCAACGAAATTTTTTGTTGATGACTCCCTCGATATAGTAACCAAAGTTATTCTCGCTCGAAACAGAACCTTGAGTGGGAACAAACTGACAGCCATTGGAAGGGCTATCAATGTGGGGGGAGTATCGACTGTTTTGTTGCCACCATTTTGAGGTACATTGTGCACATTGATGACCACGAATATTTATATATTCAACTTTCTTGCAAATACCATCACCAAGAAATGTCATAATATCAAAGTGTGTAAACTTTGCTCTGACGTAATCAGTGTAGTCAACTTTGTAAGTTGGAAAGCTGCAGGTTGATCTCCAGTGGGTTGACTGAGACTTGAGATGAGTCATTTGAGAGAGACTCATGCGGTAGAGGTTCCAGTTAGGTGAGTGCTCGTTCACAGGAGCGTCTTGTTGCATTGTTTTCCTGGCGATCTGATCCATATGTCTGTTCTTCAAGGCGTAGGACATCACTAAAGTCCAGGCTGAACCAGCTTCTGAAGTCATATCACAGTAAACTGTAATACAGTTGTCGGTCTTGAAGTCATAAATGGTATAATAACCATCTGATTTGAAACCTCTTTTGAGATAGTCCAGACAGCTTCGAGGAGTGATTTCCAGCTGCAGAGAAATAGTACAATGTATTTTGAATGATTGCAATATGGTATATAATAATATTGAACCATGCGGTACTTTACTGTGTTTACACGCATGTACATATAAATAATTATATGTAGTTTAGGTTTAGTGAAACCGCCGAACATTTCAAGCTGATAGTTTATATATATGTATATGTATTGCCAAATGAAACGACTGAAACGCAGTTATGTTTTCGGTAATTTTTTGTTTGGTTGCAAATGCACGCATTTTACCGGTATGTATAGTCGCTCATACGACTATTACAGGCTACCAATGCAGGTATAACGCTTCAATATTACATGCATGTAAACTGGTTGTGCCGGTATAACACTTAGTGCTGTGAAACCCACCTATATAGGCTATTATAGTAACAGATTGTAAATTTGAAAGCATAACACAATCAGGGAATGGTAAATAACGAATGGCTAACACAATCAGGGCAAAAAACTATATACTGTTTCAAGTTATCATATATTTACTATAATCTATATATTGTTACACTCCGGCTAGATACTCGTTTTCTGTGCACCTCTAATGCCGGCCCAGGAATGAAATTTGCAGAGCCGCAAGCAATAATTTGATTTTCGTCCATGTCAAAACAAATAATCCGCATATATAAGTTGCTTTATAGGTCGCTTTAGGTTGCATCAGCATACAGCTACTTCAATTAAGGTTGTTCCCAAGCAAAGCGGAAAAGTCGAATACGAGTGCGAAAGGCTTGCTGAGAATCGCTAAAACATCTAGAAAAATTTTAACGATTCCCAGCAAGCCTTTCGCGCTCGTATCCGGTTTGCTCGGGGACAACCTTAATTAATTGAAATAGCTGTATATTCACTAACATAACCAATAATCATGCAGATCTTGGATTTTGACGAAAGAACATTGCATAAATGAATATAAGTCCACTTTCGTCCTTAGATACAGGTTAACTACTAGTACAAGAATCCTTATTCAAAAACTTATTAATAATAATTCACGAGGAAAACACAAAGAAAAATCATAAACGTGTCGTATCTTTACATGTGGTAGAGATTTCCCTTGATTTACATCAACTTTAATTTCCTCGACTTACACAACGTATTTTTTAAAAATTACTTCGCCAATGAACTCACTAGATCGATCGTTTTTGAAGCAATTTAACATTAATTGGCTTTAATTCGCAGTGCGTGTTTTATCAGACCTAAATATACTCGGTTTCGCCTCGTGTCTTTATATCTGATAAAACACTACTGCTCATGTTTTAAATAGTACTTCAAACGCGGTGCGTCATTGCAGTGAAAAGTTAAATCAACTAATCCAATAATAAAACATTGCCATTATCTACATATAGAGCGTTCCGTAGTCTATGGAAATTGTATGGTTGCATGAAAGTAACTTGGAGATAAAACTGAGTATTTTTTGCTAAATCTGTGTCCTATAGTTGACCAGGCTTTCAAATTCAAGGAAAGATGTCTCTCAGCCATAGGTTGTTGAGCGCATGTATATAGCGAAACATACGTGTTAGGGTTTCCTTCAAATTTTGAAATTTCAAATTTTTAGTTTAACATTTCCTCAGTAAGCGGCACTTATTATTTTCACTCCGTTATTGCTTAGTACAGATAGTACAGTTGTCCTCGTTGTTTTCCGTGTGTAGCTCAATTGTTTAAAACTGGGCTAAAATTGAAAACAAGACCGTGTAAACTAACCTGTTTAGCCACTGTCTTACACTCCACTTCCATTCCAAACAGGAACAGACTGATGAGAAAAACCATGTTTGAAATCATTTTCTTCTTCTTGTTATTTTCTTTCCAAAATGTTGAAGTAACTGTTGTGTTGCTTGGTGTGAGATGCAAGAGGTAATACAAGAGCTTGGATGCTGTATTATAAATGGCTATGTGCCCACTTGAGAATGTAAAGGAAGTTCAAAATTCTCAGCAGACTGGGCTGCGGAAACCGCATGGAATGAGCGAGTCTCAAATTTTGGTGGTAATTAATTCCAGTGCATGAGACCTTCTATGCATGGACAATATATGGATATGTATATACAATAACGTTAACGTAATTATATGTAATATGTACGTTATCATTCGCCTATAGTCTGTGCCACAGGCCTAGTTGATGATCAACAATGTAAATTATCGAGACGCATTGGCATTCTCCTGCATGAGTTATCACCTTGAAGTAGCCGCTGGGCGAATAGCCAACAAATTCGGGCTGCGAGCAGGCTACTGAGCGAAACTATACAAGAAATTCTTTCAGTCTGTTTGTGACAGTCTGTTTTATCTTAGCATCCTGTTAATCCCAAATGACGCAAAAAAGACGAATCTTGAACAGAGTACTTAAGACTTGACATTTTTAAAAGTGCATGACCGTGAAGTAGCCTACTTCAAAATAAAACAAATTCCGAAAATAGACATTGTGTTCCTCTTGATATTCAAGATAAAAACAAGAGTGTAAAGAATAAAGACGAAATATTACCGACTCTGTCTTTACACTCTTGTTTCTATCTTGAATATCAAGAACACAAGATGAGTCTATTTTCGGAATTTGTTTTATTTTGTACTTTCTGAAGTTGTCTTGTCGTGGTGAAGTACTTCTAGTTGCAATTAATATTCCAACACGCAACACTGTAAAGTGGAAACTTTACAAACAAATATTGGTTATTCCACAAAGGAAAATTTGTTTCGCAAATTCGCCTGCTGAAAAAGCGGCGTCTTTAAAACTTAATTTCATTACTTTGTGTAGCCTGTAGATGAATGTTGGTGGATTTGAAATCTTACCAGAAGGGGAAGAGGGTACAGATGACAAAATATGAAAGCCTTTGAAAGGGCTAGAGTTCTTGGTACGAGAGCCTTACAGATAAGTATGGGAGCACCAGTCATGGTAGAGCTTGAGGGTGAAAAATATCCATTGCAAATTGCTATGAAAGAATTAAAAGCACAGAAATACCAATCATTATTCGTCGGTACATGCATCCAACAAACTATTTCGGCAGCCTATATTTTTAACAGAGATCTATTTAAAAGCAGTTTCGGTGATTACTCAGGGTCAAGTCTGTATGGATGGGTAGCTTTATCCAGTTGATAAGTGATTTTTTCAACCTTAATAAACATGTCAGAAAAGTTGTGAAACTATGGACATATATTCAAACAAAAACTTTAATTTATAAATCACTATCCAGTGGATAGTGCTATACTGTTCAATCTCTGTAGTTTATATAGCCAGGCCCAGGAATACTAGCCTGCTCACAGACATTGTAGTTCTTACGCCAAGCGACGAAATACTACCGTCTGCTTACCCGAGCGCCAAAACTGAATTCCGCTACGTCGAGCAATCAGAATTTACCTTCCAAATTCTGGAAAGTGACGTCAGTTGATTTAGGAGCGGAATAAATATAAATATTTATTTTTCACCCTGCTCGGTTTCCTTTGTTCTTGTCGGGGAATATAATCAATATTCCCCTCTAATCAATTTTTGTAACAATGTCAATGACAAACAATCAATCGGGAAACTCGAGTATATCAGGATATGTCCAAATGTTGCTCTTGATACTTCCTATATGCCACGACTTCGACGAAAACTTCTAAAAGATTAAGCTCTCATTGTCATGTAGAAAAGTATAGCCAAGTTAGAGTATAAACGTTTCGAAGTTTGGGCGAATTGGAAAATTCATCACGGCGCAATTGTAATACAAGTTTCTCGGGTTTGTGTTGTGTTTACAGTTTACATTCAGAAGTGGTTGCTCAAACAGCAAAGTTAGTTTACTTTGAAGCTAATATTTCGCTTTCTAAGCCACAGTATTATATAAAATTTTCTGTCTTATAAAGATAAACCGTTAAAATTTCAGCGAAATATATCCGGCATTTGATGCTGTCTGGCTAAGATTCATACAGTATAAATACTGGCAATCCTGTCCGCGTTTTAAATACACCGAACATCTTTAGTATCCAAATCTGATCATTAATGGTGCATTTTATTACCTGGACAAGTATCAGTATCTTTAAATTCAATTTATGTGCAATTTTGACCAAAATTCAACCGACGACTGCTTTCAAAATATGTATAGGTTATTTTGAGGCAACGAGGGGATATGTGATTTATTCACCGAGGCGCGCAGCGCCGAGGTGAATAAACACATATCCCCGAGGTGCCTCAAAATAACGTACTTATTTTTCACACTGCGAGGTCGCTTAATGAGTCAGAAAAGAAATAATTCTTAATGCCATATTGCCTTCGCGATGTTGTTTTTTCTCATTTTTTGTGCTGCAAAGACATTGCAGGTGAATATTAGAGGGGATTATTAATTGCAGGTGAATATTAGAGGGGATTATTAAACGGAAATTTAAATTTCGCCTACTGCATTGCTTTAGCACTTTGATATACACCAATTGTTTGCTGAACATGCGAGAAGATGATCACAATATTATTCTACGTAAACATCGTAAGTTCAACGCTATAGTTTCCAAAATATATCCACGCAAGTAAACAAATTTCAAGTTTCAACCCAAACAATATATTCCAATGCATGTGCAAGGGCTTTCCCCAGTAGCTAATCTCTCAATAAGGCGCCTTCCAATTGGCTCTAACTTTTTTGAACACTGCCAGATGATTGGCTCCTAAAACAAAGGGAATTGAATATGCAGCTCGGGTAAGCAGACGGTAGGTCACGCAACCAGTTAGCACATCAAAGCGCCAGGGACGAGACTGAGACGGTAGTATTTCGTCGCTTGGCGTAAGAACTACAACGTCTGTGAGCAGGCTAGGCCATTTGGGCAAGAATGTAATAAACAGTACGGTCAATTGCATTTGGTTCATGACTAACTTTGCGATTGGTAGTGATGTAGGTACAGCCGCAGGGATTATTCTAAGCATAGGCGTACCGGGCGGGGGGGGCGGCAGCCCCCCCCAGTTTTTTGGGCAGTCGGGCAATATTCGATCAACAGTCGGGCAATTTTGGTGTCCAAAAAAAAAATGGGACAAATTCAGTAAATTTTGTCTAAAATTAAGTCAATTTTCGCAAATGTTGTGATTTTTGGAAAATTTGTGTTATGTTCCGAAAAATATTGGTTGTCCGGAAAATTTTTTTGACCCCTAAAATGGTACAGTGACCGAAAATTTTTTTGGCGACGGGGGGGGGGGAAGGGAGGCCAAAATAATTTTTCCGGAAAAATTTTTTTGGACTAGTCGGGCAGAATCCGAAAAGTCGGGCAATTTTCTTTCCGCCCCCCTAATTTTTTCCTTCCGGTACGCCCATGATTCTAAGGAAATTTTATCACTGGACAAAAGCGCGAAAAATGATAAAATGTACATAAATTTAGCGACATTTTAGAAAACGTTCTTACTGCCCTGCATTAGTGCATGTACGGCTGGTTCTGCAACTTAAAGTTACCCCATGCATGCACTAATTATATGCAGGCAAATGAGCGAAAATCACCGCTAATGAGCCCAAATCTGCATTCTGCATATTCTATTTCATGCAAAAATATATATATTTTTACATATTTTTTTAATCGCATGCAAAACACCAAGCAATATTGCTCTTCGAGATCTATACTAGTCTTTCACTGTTGATTGTGTCACCAAACCGCAGCGTCAAAAATCTCAAAACAAAATCTCTCGGCATTGGCAGCTATATAGGAGTACCCGATCGGAATAAATATGCAGCCGAAACATTAGTATGCTTTATTGAATGAATGCAATAGTAAACGAATGCTTTATTGCAATAATTTTGAGTTCAAATATTTTCACCCTGTATATTCCCAGTAAAAACTGAATGAAGCCATTGTATGTGATTTTATGCAAATTAGTATACAAGCAGTGGCCATTTTGTCGCTAATTTCTGGTAGTGAACAATATCGCATTTTATCACTGCACATAATCTAATTTATCACTGCACAAATCTCATTTATCACTACACAAATTGGTTATCACTGCACCTTAGAATAATCGCGTACAGGTATTTCCAAGTTCAATGCGTGTCTTAAGGAATTGCTTATTCCTCACTACCACACTTAGCCTATTGTGCGGTCACTGGATTCACTGATACATCGAAAGTAAAAAAATATTAATTTATCCTTGTAGTGGAATACTGCTTTAACAGGTTTGAACAAAACAAATAGTCCAAACCTGTTAATTCTGGTAAACTCGACACCCAAGTTGACACCTTATTTAACTTGTTTAACAGTCGAGCTAAATGTCGAGATGAAAATTTCGAGTGTAAAAAGATTTAGATGTAACCAGGAGCAGTTTCGAAAAATACAACTATATACAGTAGACCCTCTGGCAGGAATCGAACTTGCGATTCCGTACCAACTGAGATACAATCGAGATAACAATATTAAAAGTTAAACCGAGAACAAAATTAGTTTTATCAATATCTTTATTACTATTATAATCGAGGGGCATTTCACTCCAAAAAAGCGTACGGGATTTTCGGATTTTTAAAAATCCGCGCATTTTTTAGCGGATTTAGCGGATTTTTCCCGGATTTTTTAGCGGATTTTTGAAGAGAAAATTTGCTGGATTTTCGGGATTTGTTCGGATTTTCCGGATTTGTTCGGATTTTTTCTGGATTTTTGAAAATCTGTTGGATTTTCTGGATTTGTTTGGATTTTCCGGATTTTTTCTGGATTTTTTTAAATTATAGAGTTATAGAGCTAGGTAACGTTTTGGACAAATAATCTTAAGTTGTACGACGTCAACGTTATGCCAGGACGTCAGGATCGAGCAGAGGACTGGGACTAGGACCACAGCCTTCAGAAACTAACGAAGGCTGGGCATGTAGTCATTTTGTTTAAAATTCAAACGAGTTCATTATTCTTTCAAAAACAGTAAAAGACAATGGTGAATAACTTTTGGTTTTGTAATTATATTTTACAACATAACGTCATTGTAACAAGAACACATATTTAGTAGTAATAGGCTAAAAAAAGCGAGCGTATAAATGGAAATGTAGAGTAGTCCAATAATTACGAAATATAATGACAGCGAATCAGCGATCACGATAAGCGTAATAGCTTTCGCTGTCCGCCATTTTGAACGTGGCAAAGAACCTTTACGAGTAAATTACACCAAGTACTTCATATATTTTTTGTGGATTTGCGGATTTTTTGAGGATTTTGAAGGATTTCTGTGGATTTTTGAAGGATTTCTGTGGTTTTTAAAGGATTTTTCGGATTTTGATGGATTCAACGGATTTTGAGGATTTCATGGATTTTTTCTGGATTTTTTCCGGATTTTTTGACGAAGTGTACGGGATTTTTGGAGTGAATTGCCCCTCGATTATAATCAGATTATTTCAATGAATAATAACATAGAACAGAAGAAAGTCGTAATTTATGCTATGCTACATTCAATCCTTTGCTCTTTAAGAACGCTGCATTATTGGGTTCACGACCAAGAAAGTTTCTTAGCATATCTTTGGCATCCTGTGAAAAACATACTGTGTTTGACTGTTTGGCAGGAGGATATGTTCTCGGTTCAATGCGTGCAACGAGAATGGCAGGAGTAAACAAAAGTAAAGTTAAGGGGACTGAACACAACGCTCTAAATACCCTAACATGCGTTGGGAACATGGGGAAAAGAGCTTGGGGAGGAGCTTGGCCTTGGGGTCAACAGAGACCGGAGAAAACCCACGACTTTTGGCAGAGCTAGCGTCGACTCTTTTCACATGAGTCCGTAACGACTAACGAGAATCTAGCGAGAATCGAACCCACAATCTCAGAGATGAGAGGCGCTTGCTTTGACAACTGCCACCATAGATAAGGATTCATGGAACAAAATGATTTAAGGATCAACATGATTAATCCTGTACGAGAAATAAATACGTGCTGCTTTGTTCCAAGTGCCTTGAAATAGAAAGGCAGAAAAAAGATTGACTGTTGCCTCATTCATGTATGAAGTCAAGTAGGTTGCATTGCTTTTTAAAAGAAACAAGAAAACCACAATGAAACATGGAAGAACAAATCTACAAAAGTTACAAAACAGTTTTAAGAGTTCTTTCGTTTGAGAAAAACAGTTTGTATCATAAGCATTAAGAAACCACACATGCAAATTTCGTCTTTGCTCATCAACACATACGTTGGAGGCCTTTCTAAGCCGCGTACAGGTGTGGTGCAAACTTCGGATTTCATATATATCCACCCACTCGGATATTAACTAGAGACTTACCAATGAACCACCTGGTTCTAATATACACCGCCTATAATCCATTCCAACCTTACTGTCCATAATTCCTTC